AGATGTGTGGAATATAATTTCTGGCGGTGGACTTTATACCTCCCCGGTTTGACACGATAAATGCTCTGCATCTTGAAGGAATGTTCAAGAGCACTCTTGTTTTACAATTGAAAGACTCTAGACTCGTTGATTAAGTCACATTGTTGGGGAAAAAATTTTGGCACAATTTTCTTCCAATAGCCAAGATAGTACCAGTGGTTAATAGCTACTGTGGCCCAGTTCACCAAAAGTGCACTCCGTTATTTTGAAGACCTCAATGAAGAAACTTGAAAGGATATTGGAAACCACTTACGCTAAAATAAGAAGAGCTCTGAGTGAACACATCTGGATTAAGTTTCAGCGCAGATAGAGGAATGAGATAGACTTAAAGATATGGGAAGCGAATTGCAAATCTCTGCTTTCTCTCTTTGGGGTGTGAGTAATGTTCGTAGTGCCTCACCACATTTGAAGGCACAATGCAATGAACCCTTTTGGTAAACAGCAACAAGGTGATTGCAAAAGTTTGAAGAAAGATAAGTTTAATTTTGTTCATGACATCGAAGTAAATGCATTCTTTCAACAAAAAACAAGACATTTCTGAAGAACCCAAGCAATAGTGAAAGAGACACGGACAGATAAGATGTCTCAGCAACCTAGTCTGTCAATTAAGTCCAAGACTATTTAAGTCTCAAACATTGACTCTTAGAGTTATCGTTTGTCAGGGTCAATCAGGACTTATGAAAACATAGCAAATACGATCAACCTCTACACCATTAGCACTATTTTACATTCACGCCAGAAACATTCACGCCAAAAGTGTGATAAAAGAGAATAGAAAAATCACGTTCAATAGGCAGCAATTCTTTCTACATTAATTTAAGCCCTTCCCAAAAGTGGTTGGGTAAGACCCAGCCAAACGGACCGTCAAACTGAGCTTTTGAAAGTTTTCAAATGTTATAAAGGTGGTAAATGTAACATTCGAAGCTTTTGAGATCAGCACAAATTAATGCCTCGAGGAGGTGTTGACTCTCAATGTTGCTTTAAAAAGTCATCCAAGCGAAATACCATCGCAGAAAAAATTGTGTGTTCCAGACGAAGAGTAAACTACCAGTAAAGAAAAGTGATTAGACAAAATTGGCTACTACTAGCAAATGCCAGACGAAAAAGAAATGATTACTTATTTGTGGATGCAAATCGTTCAAGGGAAATTGTGAATTAGAAATCAGTGACACAGCCTAACACAATAATGTCTAAAACCAAAACGGGTTATAACATCAATTTTGACTTATGAAACAAAATCGTGCATGTCAGAGATCAAGTTATTCTCGAGTTCTAATAAAAGACAAGTTTTTTTGTTAATCGGAAATTCGAATTCAGAAAGGGGAGGTGATGTAAAGGCAAAGCAGTGCAAGTGCAATATCGATTTTACGACGTCGAGTCCTCGATTCTGCGACACTTAACAGCGTCATGATCATTCAACTATTGGTCAGTTATCTAACCAATCATATTCCTCTACGATCGGATAATGGAATTTAATGATTGGTTCAATCCTCCCCACCAATCATAATCTGGCCAAACCCCTTTTTAATGCGCAAACGAATTTCTAAACGCTTCATCACAATTGGTTTGGTTTTGTTATTAGGCCAATTCTGTCCGGCTTGAGCTCCGTCTTCTCTCTCTCTCCCTCTCTGGGATTTGAGTGACTGTAGCAATACCTCATAATGGTGAGGTCTGACTATACCTAGTCAATACTCAGTTCGCGTACTTTAAGGGGAGCTTTTAGGTGACTCAACGCTAGGGACTTGGACATCGCAGATAGAACATTCAAGAACTGGGATCTACACTAAAGACAATAATGTGCTATATTACAACTTATTCGGGTAATATATTAGTAAGACCAAATAATTTGAGTTACGTAACGCAAAAAGATCCGCCAACGGAAAGACAATGAGGTGATTTTATCAATTCTTAGAACTGTGATATGTATATAATAAAACGCCAGATTTTAATGAAAAGCGATCGAGGCACACAAATCAATTGTGAAAATCGATGAAGAGTTCAAAACACCACAGATATTGCGTCGGTTTTCGAAATAATACTTCCCCTTCTCCTTTTGGGGCTTTATGCCTTGCTGCAAAATGCATAGTATGAACTTTCAATGCCGTGGATCGGAACTTGATGCTATCAGAAGCGAAGGCTATTTACATTTACATAAATTCAAATCAAATTTTACAGTAAAAACATTTTTATCAATTATTGATCTTTCTTTTTAGGAAAAATGGGTTTTATTAGGATTGTTAACTAGCTTCCAAACTATAACGTCGTGATTTCTGCAGTAACCAAAATCAATTAAAACGGAATACAAATTTAATTAAATGTTTGATAAATGAATAGCTGAGTTTTGAGTTTCTAAATTAAATAATAAAATATTTACGATTGCTCAGAGTAATCTTCCGTTAAGAACCGACATGGAACGTCTATAAAAAGTCTGTCTAGTATAATGCTCTAAGAAGCCTCTCCAAATAGCAGAACGAATGATGAAAAAGCGCATAAAATACAAACCTTAGAAATCTTATTTTAAACAACATGAAAATTAGCCAATCCGCGTGTGACTCATTGACATTGACATGTCGTCTATATTGACTCGCGCCTTTTCCAGTATTTATTTGTCCTTATCCCGCTTGGACAATAGCTGCGCTATCGATTCCATTCACAAAGCCACTACTCAGTTTAATCACTCTTGATTATAAATTTATCCCGAAATTCATGGAATCAATAGATAACAATATATAATAGATTACTCCAAGTGATATGTCAGTAAGTCCAGAATTACAACAAAACTGGTAAAATTGATCCCTCAAGACGCAATTTTTAGATTCCCCTGTCGTTGATAGTGAAGAAGATCATAAAATTTAAGATTTATCCCAAGCAGTCTCCAGCAATGAGCTAACATTTATTTATTTATATCAAATAAGGTCTTTATGATAGTCATCATTAGTCCCTTAGCTGACTTCGGGCTTCACAGAGGGTAGGAACTTCAAAGGCGTAAAAGGTGGAGAGGGAAGAGAAGAGTGATTTACAGAAGTAAAAGAGACACAGGGACACAAAGACAGAGAAAAAAGTAAGATGAGTACTGTGGAAGGGACCGAAATATGACATACAGTGGGGTCGTGGTAGTTTGAAGTTAGAAGTCAACTGCCGGTTTGTAGACTTTTTGCCGTTTGAATATACGTTGCCCAGAGAGCACCCCCAAATTCTAATATAATTGTCGACAATATAATTTGCTAAAAAGTTTATTACAGATAAACGATGTCACTGTTAGTTAGATTAATATATAATTACATAAGAATGGCTTATTTCTTCTATGTTTATGAACTATCGTTGTAATAGAATGAAAAATTAACTTTGAAAACGGGCGAGGAATAATTAACTAGTCTTTCACACGTGCTCAAGTTTACCTACTTCAATTCTAATCAGCATAAACTGTTTTGAAAAAATCGGAATAATAAAATTCTAAACCAATTTAAAATTTCTTTATTGAATAGAATGATTATTCTATCGTTATCCATTATCATCATTTCAACTGAATGTTATGCTGCAGACATCTCATATAAAGCAATTTCTTCTTTTTTACGTTCTATTTCTTTCAGTAAATTGCATTTTAAAAAACCCTAAATCGCTTTGTCGAACTCCACTTTAAGAGTTGATAAAAATATAAGCAATAATTTATAAGATTAGGTTCTGCAATCTTTCCCCCTGAAAAATTAGTTACCTCTAAATAAAATTGACAAATGACATTCTAAAGTTAGGTAGTATTTTGCCACATTATCAGTATTAGCCAGGTCAAATTAGAAAATTTGGCCTTCTTTTATCATGTGTGAGGGTCAAAACAATAGGAATGTTAGAAGTAATTTAAGCAGTGTTAGAGAGTTTTGTGCTAAACAGAAAAATAATTCATTATTGCATCCAGACACCAAAATCGACAGGTCATCAGACTTTCAACTAAATTTTATAGTGTTCTAAAACATTTTCTGTTTTTTTTGAGTCAATAAAATTCTTATTGAAATGTCTTCCAGTGGTTTCGTAACCACCCACTTTCCCCATTGCTCTTAAAATAGTTATTCTCTGTGCTGGAAATTCTATTAGTTCGTGGAACTTCCATATTTAGATGAAGGTCTGTTCACCAAAGTCTTCTCATTTCGCACGTGATTCGAAAGCACTGGTGACACCTGGCGCCCACGCGAAAAATTTGCCATATATCTCCCCCCCCCCTCCTCCTTTTATCTCTTGTTGATAGTTTGTCCATTGAGTTAAAATGTACCGAACGAGTGGAAGCATCAATCCCAAAATTCATTTCAATCAGTTTTGAAGCACACTTAAACAAATTACTGTGTGAATTCTTATTCAATTAGGGCAATTATATCCCCAAATCAATAATCAATGGAAGTAGTTTGAGACCTTAAATTAACTTTACGGTAATACTTCAACTACATAAACTGCCGATATACTAATTCGCCCAGTTAAGATGTGAAAAATGCTTGTGAGTAGAAGAGCAAACAAGAGCTCCAATCTAACCCAATGCGTATTTGTATTGCCTACAAAAGTGACAGCGAGTTTCACCTTATGGGGTGATTGTTCACTTGAGCGCGCTCAGCGTGTAGGCTGAGTCAGTGTGCTGAGCTGAGTTTGTGAGTGCGTAGATGTTCTGGCACCTACGCTATGCACATACGCACACATCACTGTACCTTATCGAAATACAGCGTTACGACATCACCTATTGGCTACTGCCAAGCTCTATAAGACTACGCTCAATCATGCAGAGTATCATTCACTTTGTGTGTGTGTGTGCACAATTGAGAAGAGATTGAATAGTAGTGAGATACGACATAATACATTTCGTTTATTATCCCCTTTTCATTACATTTCTACTAAACTTCTGATATATACAAATTATTTCGATTTCGTACATCCTCAAGAACTAATAAAGGAAACCTAGTTACCAACTTAGCGTTACCATCAAAATGGACGCGGAAGCAATTTTCGACGATAGACCGAGAGCGGATAATCTACCGCATCTTCTGGTTAGTATGCATTTATTGATTTATTTATTGAACTTTATGTCTTACAAAGTACCAGTAGTAAACAAGTGGGAGATCTGAAATATTGACTAGCCATTTTCTCGAAAACCATTTTCTTTCATAACATATATCGTTTACTCACGAAAGTATTTCCTTTAACATGAATGAATTAATAATTTCCCTAGAGCTTTATTTCAAAATTTCGTCTTTATCAGCTAATTTATTTTGTTACTTAGATGCGCTGAACCAATCATACGTGTATATACTCGTAAATGTTTAAATAGTGTTGATAATGAGTAACTTAGTTGCCTAATTAAATGCTCGCTCAAGTGCATTTAATTATATATAAATCTCTTTATTGAGAGAATTTTATTCCTATTGTCTACTGCAAATTTTCGGTTATGTTCTTAACTGACGTATATGATGCCAAATTATTCCGTCATGGGACGTAGTCTTTTCTGCACTTGACATCTAAGAGACTTATTAGATTATTTCAAGTCAAAAATTTACAAAATGAAATTCATACATGCGCAATTCCCAATAATTTGCGAATAATTAGATGAAAAAAATGGTGCACATTCGTGTGAAATTCAATAGGATCGAGCTGTTATTGTTAGCTTTTTTTTTCATAACTGACAGTTTGTATTGTTAACTTTTGCTTCTTATTATATTACCTGTTCATACTTATTGCATGGATTTGTAAAATGACGTTTTTGCTTTAGTCTGGAATAAATATGGAATATATTGGCGAAACTCATCAAGCCCTTGAGCAGGAGCTGGATTATCAGACATACCTTGAGGATGAACTCAAAAACTACGTCGCAAGAGTAAGTGCTATTGCCCCTAAAATTTAATTAACGTTCATCAACCTCAAATGCCCATTGGTGATTTTTAACTTTAGGGTCTCTATTCCCAACACGATGCTGTTAACCTCCAGACCCTTATCAACATTAATCGAGAACATCTCGAATCTCTTTCCCCCATCACCAGTTTGGAACATATGTTCTCCGTAAGTGGGTGTATTTTGCATTGAAGTGAATCAGCCGGTTATTTTAAAGTAGACCTATCGGCGATAAAATGAGAGTGGTTCAGATCTGAGTAGTTGTCTAGTTCTTATAGAGTGGTAACTTAAAATATCAAAGTGATAGAGATAGAGAGAGAGAGCGTGCGTTTGGCACAAACACCGACGTGTGTGTAATTTTCTTGAAGTGACTGCAATTTCTTTCTCTATGTGAATGCGAATTTGCTCTCCGTGAGCGTTTCTGAGCAAAGATGGTAGTTACAAGACGACATTACTACAACAATTAGTGGGTTATGCAAATTCCAAGTTGTTTTGCATAAATCAGAATACAAGATTAGTGACTCTCAATGGTCCTTAGGCCTTCTCTATATGGATTACATATTTGTGCTCATCATTTTGCAAATTAAGGTATTTTTGAATCAAGAAATACCGCTTTACCAAATAGTAGGTCGGTTATTACGCCAAAAATCGGGATGGTGTAGATTAATTCGAAACTTGTACAATTATTTAAGACAAAATTCAATTAACAAAGATTCTTCTCTAATATTTCAAAGTTAGATAAAAGAAATATTCTGATTTCTTCTGTTTTTTAAGAAGGAATTGTAATTATTTTGTAGGAAATCTCCCAAAAAGTTTCAGATCGTGCAGTGGATCTTGCGAATGCTCGAGACAGTCAGGCTTTTTGGGATCGAGTGAGTATCATTTTTTTCACACGAACCTTCGCTATTGCTACTGATTAAATTATAAGTAGTAATGGTCTTTCTATATAAACTATTTACAGAACCTAAGTAAGAATATGCGTGCATGCTGGAAAACAGTCCAACGCTTCGCCTATGTCAGTAGAGTTCACATTTCAAATGCTTCAGAATATCAAATGGTAAGAAAGTCACAATAAATTAATATCTATCAATAAGTAAGAAAGTAATCATAACCTTGGTCTTCATTTCAGTTCTACTACAACTGTGATCACTTCATCAAATCCCTTCAAAAGAAAGCAGAAATTAACTACAATCGATATCGTGATATTGACACTGACTATCCGTCCGTTTCAACTTCTCGTCTTAACACCTTCATGACCGTAAATCAAATAAAAAAATTACATCTAGTCAATAATTTCAAAAACCTAATGAATTTTCATGTTTATAGGAGGGTCTTGCAAAATTCCAGTCCTTAGCCTCAGAAGTTATGCGTCTGATGGATAAAGCCCAGCGTGTTAATCCCGTCTACCTACGAGTTCGAGGTCTCAACCGTCCCGTTTCAGGTATCATGCTCTGTGATTACACCACAAAGAACTTTAGTCTACGGGCTGGACAGCACGTCTTCGTTCTAAACAATGCTTATGTAACACCCTTGACTTCCAACTCAGATGCAACTGAAGGTTCAGAAACTTCGGAATGTAGTACCTGTTCATATTGTTGTGGACTTCACCATAGTCATCATCCAGGTTGTGAAAACTATGAAGTGCAAATGTCGACCACAGTTACGGAAACAACTCCAACTGAAGAAGGAACTGATTCTGCAGACTTGGCACAAGGAGCACCTGTTGTTATGCGAAGAAGACAACTCAGTGATGTCTCATCTGTTACAGAAGAAACGAATGGTCCAAGCGAAGAATCAACGGTGAATAGCACCCCGGGATGCAGTCATACCTTCTGCAGTCAACGAGAACCTGTTATATGGAAAGTTCGTACATCTGACGGTAGCTTGACGGTTGATGTTCCAGCAGTCACTGTAATGATCAATGAACGTGACGAAGAAGCCATTGCCCATGCTCATGAGTAAGTCCACTCAATGTACTATGTAGTTACTTCCACCATATCAACTTCCCATTTACATATACCTTCCTATTTCTGTTCTCCCTTTCAGAATCTACGAGTTCTTTACGAATATGTGGAGAGAAGCAATCGATATCTGGCTGACCAAAGGAGTTAAAGCTCTTACCAACTACTTTTCAACTCTAATTGAAGCCAAGGTGATTGTCAGAGGGCACATAAATTATTCCCCATCAGAATTTGATGCGTGTCTTCACCACATCTTGCTTAATATAGATTTAATTAATTCAAATTATTTGTGTATTACTCATCGTTGAAGTCATCTTTAAATTCCTATTTTATTTATTTTCTTTAAATGATTGTAAACGGGGCCTAAAACTAATAAGCTCAATTATATCAACAAAATCGACATTTGGTTCCATTTAAAGTGCGAATAGAAACACTTAAAAGTCTGCTGTATTAAACGCCATTTTGTCTGCTCATTAACTGCAATTTCTCTTTAATTAATCTAGTATATTCGCTTAGAAAGCGAGAGAATTTTCCAACAGTTCTTGGATGAAGTTCAGAGAGCATTCCCAATTCAAGATCCTGAAAGTGCATCAGCAAACAAAATCCTCAATGAAATGATTGAAACACTGAGAGAGAAAATAAGGCGACAAGAAACTCGTAAGTGAAACTCCTCCCTCACATATGATGTTTATTTACCTTTTTTCAGGATAAATAATTTTTCCAATATTTTTTTGAGGTGAAGAAACAACTGAGGAAATTTACGTTAGGATTACTGAAGTTGCAACCTATCGTAAAACGGTCCAGAAAGTTAGAGTAAGTTAATCTGATCTAATTAATAGCAGTTACTGGACACAAATTAAACCACAAAATTTGTTCTTTTACTGATCGAAGTATGCATTAATCATCGCTCCCTATCAAATGTTTAACAATTGTACTGATATAAAGTTAGTAGTTATTTAAATTGTACCACATTATTTTTTGCTAGGATCACGTCAATCACATCAGGCGATTTATGAAAGACGTTGAGGAGAACACTCACAGAGGTTACATCGATACAGCTACCTTAAAATCAATGGGAGATCTTAAATACGTCTAGTAAGTAACAATATTTCCACTTAATGGCTGATATCTTTTCTAGTGAGGAAACAGTTGAAGAACATAGGAAATTGGAGAGAATGTTACGCCAAGTCAATGCCTTCCGAACTGGACGAAGATCACCAAGGGTGCCTGTGCATACGATACAAAGCTTTTACGGCAAATACTACTCTTCAGCTGAAGAATACTCTAGTGAATCAGAAGAATCACAGTATGATGTGGAAAGGAGTAAGGATTTATCAACTAGAATTCTGTATGGGAGAGAAGAAACCCACCGAACAACTGCGCTAACAGATCGACCGCGATACGTAAGGCGGCCGCGTGGTGGCGTAGCGGGTGGGGAACTACCTACAGATTCTAGCGATGAATCAGATACTGGAAAACCTCGTCGTTCAAGCGGGTTCCTCTACAAACCAACTCATGGACGCCGCGATGAACACGTATCAGAAATTATTGAGGAGACCAATGACACTGTGATTAGCTCAATGACTTTAGATCGAAAGATTAATTTTGCGAAACAGATCAGACGTCCTGATGAAATTGACATCTCTCCAGATGAGCGGTATCGTAGTCGACGTCAATATCATGTTCCACCTGGACCTCAAAAAGGTGACGTGTCAATGGTCTATCTTCAGATTACAACTGCCAAAAGTACTCAAGACCCCATGTCACCGACAGATGATAATCGACAAAGTAGAGGAATTCAAATTGACATTGAGACAATACCTGTTGATGGTAAGGATGTTCTTCAGGTTGAACCAAGAGTTGCATCGTGGCAAAAGAACGCTGCTGGTGGAATGACACTCAGACACGATGTATCATTGGATCCAATACAGTTGGAAAGAGAAAGAAGACCAGGTCCGGAAAGAACGATGGAGGCAATCGTAGTTGGAACAGCGAGAACTGATGATTATCATGATCGCGGTGTTCAGGTGACAAGTCGAGATGAGTATAAAGGAATAATGAAGCCTCCAATGTACGAGTATGTGCAAAGATCAACACAGACAGCAGCTTACGTAGAACCAATAGAAGTAATCCAAATTGACAAGACTGAGATGGTACACGCTGCTCCCCCAATTCCAGAAAATCGTTATATCGTTTCGTCTTTCACTGAGGTACCAAAAGTTACAAGTGGCTTAATTTCAAGCAGCTTGATTCTCGGTCAAACCGACACTGCCATCACAGCACCAAGGAGTGAAATTTCAACTACGATATCTACCGTCACACATGACACAGTGAAAGAATTTATTCCGAGTGCAATCGGCGTTTCCACTGAGCAATTGCTTCACTCAGAAGATGCCTGGACTGAAGCCGCTATAGTTGAAGAAATTCAAGTTCCAACCATCCAACAAATAAGAAAAGTTGGAGAGAAATCAGCACCACCAATTGAATCAGTCCACCAAATAGTGAAAGTTAGAGCATGCCAGACTTCAAAACCACTATTCAACGATTTCGAAGTACAGACAAGAATTGATACACAACGCATAGAGTCAATAACTAGCACAATTGAAGAACCGTCAAGAGAAGTTATAACCAGCAGTGAGATTAAAAATGTTGAGTTCACTATTACGGCAGGAAGTGAACAGGTTTTGCATACTGAACAACCAGTTTTAGAAAGAGCAGAGCTTGTTTCGGTTACGACTTCATGGACGGAAACTCCCAGGGTTCTAGGAGAAATTTCTAGTGACTGGATAGCGGACATAGCAGACAGAGGTATCAGTGCACCTGAAATTGCAGTTGAAAGTACTGTTACTTCATCTCAAAAGACACCTGAACCTCGTATCACCCAAATAAATGTCAATACACAGACGGAATCAGAATATATAAGCCGTGGTACGGTGACCATGGTCGTAGAAGAAATGATGCCACCAATAAGAGTTGTAGAGGCACCCAGAGTTCAAGCAGCACCATTGGTAGAGCCACGTGTTAGCATTCGATATTGCCAGACATCGACACCCCTTCACATTCATTACGAGGGTATTACAACTATCGAAGAAGCACGAACTAGAGTTTCAGAATCAAAACCTAGAATGCATTCTATAGAATTGCAAGCACAAATAGCTGCTGAAAGTCTGGAAGCAATAACACATGCCAATGAAGAAGAGCGTCGTCAGTTGAAAGGAATCGGTATTAACACAGAAGACTTGAAAACCTACTTAGATGCATGGACAGAAGCATTTGTAGTTGATGAGCCACAAAAGCTAATTGTTCAAGAGCACACTATGGAAGTAAAAGCAGAACTTGGTCCAAAACGAGTCACACATTCAATGGAGACGCAGACACTATTCCGAGGTGAAATGACTATCCTGTCCGTTGAGTGTCCTTCAATAGTATCAGTATCGACAGCATCAATGACAGATTGTACAATTGAGCAAGTTCAACCAACAGAAATTCACAGAATTCGACAACTTATTCCAGAATTTGGCACAGTAACTACAACAAGCGAAGCACCACGCCTGGAGGAAGTGGGTACCAGCACAGATTCTATGATGACATATCTTGACACTTGGACAGAAACGACAGCAATAGAAGAGCCTTCTCCCAAACCAAGAATGCATTCTATGCAAGTACAAGCTCAAATAGGCACGGATGTTCAAGAAACAACAACATATACAACTAGCGAAAAACAGCATCAATTAGAAAGAATCAGTATTAACACAAAAGACTTGATAACCCACTCAGAAGCGTGGACAGAAGCATTGGCAATGGTTGAGCCGGAAAAATTAATCTACCAAGTGCAAACAGAAGAAGTCAAAGCGCAGCCCGTTGTGAAGAAAAGAATGGATTCAAGAGAGATACAAGCAAGTATGATGTCGGAAAGAATCGACACAACAACACAAGTTTCAGAATTGTCAAAGAGAATGGATGTTGTAAACGTAGAAACCCCAGTAATAGAATACAGAGCAACTGCCATAATGACAAAATCGATGATTGAGCCAACTCAACAAGTCGTTGTCCACGCTTTCGCTCCAGCTAAGCCTCTGGAAATCGCATCCACTGGTTTGGATATCGGGCAGACAGATACACAGACTGACGTACACAGCGAGGGTTTGCTAACAACTGTATCTTCAGTAGTTGAGCTCCCTATCCGTCAATCTGAAGTAACAATAGGAGCAGAAGTCAAATATTCGGATGCTCAAACAACAGCAGAAGCTGAAGAACTCAAAACACTTGTGTCTTCTTGGGCAGAAGAAGTGATCATCAGAACAATACCTGCACCAGTTGTAGAAGCACCACCACCATTGCCAATGACACCAATTCTCACGTCTGTAAGATACAGAGGAGTGCAAACG